AGTCATTCTCCTACACATCTTCCTCTCTACCCTAAACTTGGTCTGCATCGTCTTCTTTTGTGAAGCTACATTCCACTGCATTGCTTGCTTTCATCACCAGGGCTGACCAAACATTGTGAAATTTCAGGCACAACCGACGACGAGAGTGAAGATAATTTGTCTTCTAGGATGTTGCGTCCTGTAGACGTTTATCGACGTTTCAGAGGTACTTACTGCTTGGCATGATGATGGAGGCGGCAAACACCTTTGAAACATCTGTAAACTTCTACCAGACTATACGGAGTAGGAACCCAGAAAACAGCCAGCCATCTTTACATTTTTATTTACCTTATGGGGGATAAGAGGTATGATTTGGTCCATGTGTGTGTGCAAACCCTCCAGACCTTTATATTTCTTGACAAAATTTAAGTGAAAAACATTTCGTTTGAAGCCTTTGCATTGTCGAAGATTTTAATTCCAAGAAACAGTGACTCCAACATGGTGGCTGTGGAAGTTCTGACAGTTTTCTTTGCGACTTTTTGGAAGATTACATTTTGTGGTGTGTACAACATGGCAGTCGAGCGTAATCTGTATTTAACTTTCTATTTCATAGCGATAACTAACGAACCATTGAAATTAGGTTAAGAATGATAACAAATGTACGAGTAAATTTTCTTAGGAAAATGTTGACACGCCACAAAATTATATAAAAACTCTCCGTAATATGACCAATTGTTTATGCAAACGCATTAATTTCAAAGAAATCGGGCATCGTAATTCCCCCACCGGAAATCCTGTAAATTTTCTGATGACGCTAGAATGACGATGCCTGCTGGCTAAGCCAAAGCCCATTTAATAATATTTTAAAATACAATTCACACGGCAAAGATAACATAACACTTTACCATTGCAATGATCAATGGTCATTGCTATTTAAGAACAAATCGCTGTTTGTTCTGTGTGTGATGTTGACTGTTAAAGCAAATGGCACGTGTAGTTATCATTGGGTTTTATAGAGTTGATGAAATGGGAAGTGTATTTTTCGACAGCTTGTATTAAACAAGGCGTATGACTTGTGGTAGCTAGAACCTTGAACACAAAGACCTAAACCGAGCAAGAAGATAAATTTGTATGCCCATGATCAGGATTTATGTTCTGTCTCGATATTATGCGCGTGTAGATACGGTTACTGCAGTCTGTCACAATGAGAACGTAGGAGCACCGTCATAGCTAGGGAGAATTGTATATAGCATAAAATTGGTCGTTTCAGTTGCGACTGGCCTTGGAATATTTCTGCCTCCTTCACCACGAAGAAAACTCGCAAAAAAAAAACACCTAACAAAACATTTATATCAATATTTCATTGGCATATTAACTGCCTGGACAGTTTTGCTCTTGAATTTCTCTTTTTATTTATTTTTAAGGTTGCAGTACGAGATGGCCACATTTTCTCGTCAAGAATTTCTGTAATAAAAATTCTCTCGTAAGTGAATTGAATTAAACCTGAGTGCCATCTATGGGAAGCTATATGCACTAAGTTGACCTAGCTGAAGAACTGCGAATCGTCTCGTAAGTCTACAATGGCATAATAACTACACGCCAATGGCTTAAGATACATAACATCTGTCTGGGATATTTTTCAACTTTGGGGGCTGTGTTGGTGATTTAAACATTTTAAAAAATACTTTTAGAATTCGATGTTGTTCTAGCAGGTTATAACGCTGTGTGGATTTATTTTAAATGGATCCCAACGTTTCGGATAAACATACTTGTTTCCATCTTCAGGGCTGAAACCGAAGATTGATAAGATATGTTTCTCCGAAACATTGGTATCTTTCTACAAATCCATACGGTGTTACAACTGTGATAAACTCAAATCTCTAGAATTTATAACAGGCTGCAATATTTTCCCAACATTTGTCATTGTATAAAATCTTACATTTGACTACTGTAGTTTTGCTGAAAGTTACGTATGTACGACCTCCTTGGTGTTGCAAACCGGGAGCTCAAATCTTGTGGCGGGATGTCACCGACCTTCCGCCCGGGGCCCTGAAACCACGTTCATCCATAGTCGTAATTGTTGTCTCGCATGCCATCATCATGTGAGCCAATGGGTAATTACATACCAAGGAAACAATGACGAACTGAAGATATGCAATGTGAGAAATGCGATGAGAGCTAGAAAAACGTTCAGAATGTGAGTCTTAAGGTCCTCACGGCGGCGAGTATAATTGTGGCTGTCTTCTGGGTTTAATCGCTGTATAATCTGCTAGGAGTTTATCGACGTTTCAGAGGTTCTTGCTGCCTTCATCATAAGTGCAATCTCTAGTCGCCCTGATGGTCGCTGCAGTACAACCCAGAACACAATCATGCTCGTAGTCGCTTCTGTGAGAACATGAAATCCTGCTAGTAATAAAATTTATTGCAGCTGTTAGCAGGTCTCATTAAAAATTTACCTATAAAATTTCTTTATAACTAACTTACTAGATGGCTTACCGAAACCGAAGGTTCATCACCGAATTAACCAAAGCCCTCCACCGGACCCTGTCCTGGGCCAACAAATTCCAGTGTCCTTCAACTCCTATCTCCCGTAGATCCCGCCTGAGGTTATCCTCCCATCTACGTCTAGGTCTCCCCAGCGGTCTCTTCCCCTCAGGCTTCCCGACCAATACCCGGTGCACACCTCTTGTCCCATCCATGCGCGCTACATGCCCCGTCCATCTCATTCTTCTCGACTTAATCACCTAAACAAAATAAAATGTGAAACATCTTCTCTCTTTGCCACTTTTTGTTTTTGTTTGGAATGTTTTATTTTTTCCTTGGTCGTAATTTTATATAGAGCTGCGTGCAATCTGCCGTGATTGAATAACGACCTGCTACCAGAGTTGCCACCATCAGGACCTTACAATAAAACGTGAATGACATTTGCTTTTTTCAGGCGTTATATATCTTATAGTATGGTGATCAATATTTCTTCTTTGTTTAGTGTGAGTCAGGGTATGTTCCCTTAGACCGATAATGCTGACATATTTTGTTGTATTTCACAGTTCCTTGAAACATAATATGATCATGGAAAAAGATATTTCCAATTTGCTCGATTTTATAGCAGACCTGCCTTTTCAGTAGTGGGAACTGCTTCGTCACTAGAAAGTCAAAAGTGATAAGAACGCCGAGGTTGAAAGAAGGTCGGCCTTCAATTTCTGTTCTGATTGGCAGTGGCCAGCATCTGCTCTTCGATGTCCTCATCAACACCGCCTTCAACCCTTTCCCTGCCAATGAGGGCAGATCCTGTTGGGTCTCTCAAGGACTGTCTGGCAATTTCTTAAAGACTGTGCTTCCATTGATTGCAATTCGTCTGTATGGTATTAGGTAACATGTTCGTAGAAAATTCTTTATTATTAAAGCTTTCTGCTTCCTTGGTACAAAAGTGTTGAACAATAATATCGCTGTAATTCCTGTAAGCCACGGTGGTCTAGCGGTTAGAACGCTGGCCTTGTAATCCTGGGGTCTCGGGTTCGATTCCCGGCGGTGCCCGAATTTATAACTTGTGTTGGGCAAGGCCGTGGTCTAGGCAACACGGAATTTTCCTCCG